GATAAAATAATATTGTCACCTTGGATTTTACCTGTGGAGACATTTATAGAGAGATTCCTTTCTTGTACTCCAAAATTAGCCTTCATTGGAGCTTTTTAGTCCTTCTTAAAATGTTATTTCTTCCATAGTTCCAGTATTCTTCACTATCATTTCCTCTACTTGTTTTGGAGTATTCTATTATGGACTTGAATTTGTCTATGCCTATAGTTATTTTCATTTTTTTCCCCAGTTTTCAACATGCAATGCAAAACTTGAAGATTCACCAATCCATGCCTGATGCACCAAAAATATATGTATTTTTAAACCTATATTCTATACTCATTTTTGGTGGTATTGAACTTTAAAGGAATGTATTTTTCATGTTTTTAGCTTCATATACGAGAAATGGAATTTTGGTGAAAAAGAAGCGAAAACAGTGCAATTTGGAGCAAAAACGAGCAAGAAAGAAAACTCTGGCCTGATACATTTTGATATGTCTTTCTATGCTTAATCAATTTCTCACTTATCACATGTTTTTGAATGAAATTACACTTTAAAGAAACGTTGTTTTCATGTTTATTTATAGATTTATCTGTTAGGAATGAAATGCGACTGAAACGAGGTAAAACGGAGCTAAAATAGAGCCAAATGAAGCAAAACAGTGGAGCTGCTACAGACGGCGCCGACGGCACCTGAGTCCAGAGAAGCAACGAAAAGTGGCACAGACGGCGTCCAGACTGACGCCAACAGCGCCCGGGACTGTTGTGGACCAATTTTTGATAGATTTTGATGTTCTAGAAGGCTCCCAAGTGATTCAAACACCCCATGAAAGTGATTCAATGCATCTAGACACTTGGAGAAGGCTCTTGAATGAAGAGACATGTCTTTTGGATGAATAGATTTGTCTCTTGGGAAAAAGGAGGGAAGTGGTGTCTCTTTGAAAAAGAGGGTTTGGCGCCTCTCATGGTGTGTGGGGGTTTGTGTGTGTGTGTGCGCGCGTGAGTGTGTGCGAGTGCATTGTAGAGTAAATTCTTGTATGTGGAGAGGATTTTCTTGAAGAATTGTAAGAGCAGAAGGAAGGTGAGAGGTTTCTTCTTCATTACACTTCTAAAAGAGAATTTAGTGTTGATTGTAAAGAGAGAAAGTGCTACAAGGGAACTTCTAGGGATTTTCTTGAGGAGGAGTCTAAAATCAGTTGTGTTCTTTCATTTCTTTATTTTTTAAACTTGTTTTTATATATAAAATATGTGTTTTGTCTTAACTTCCTCATGAGTTCTAAGTAGTTTTCTTTATCTTTCTCCCTACTCTGAGATATGGTAAAATGAAGAGATAATTTGGATGTGTCATTTTAAAATATAAAATAAATTGTGATGATTTTTCCACTCCGTTCTTAATTTACTTTTCGATCTAGCAAATTGAAATGTTAAAATCTATTGTGAAACATATGATCCGAGAAATGGAGTATGAGTTCTACAACAAAGTGAGAATCACATTTAATTTCATGGAGAAGTATTTCGTTCTTGGAATTAAGTACAAATAAATAGGGAAATATACATTGTTGGGCGTAGAATTGGAGATTTTAGGGTGACATACTAAAATCCCCAATTTGTCCTTAGTGTTTAAGAGCTAAAGCGAGTGTTAGCCTTCAGGGGAAGGGAAGTGGGGGCTCTAGAGTGAGAGCCAGTATTCTCCTAGCCTAACCACAGATTTAGGGACTAAACCTGAGATTAGCCAATGATTCTCTATAACACTTAATCAGGGTAGAGAATTTAAATTGCTCCTATTTGGCACAATACATATTTAAACCATTTATCTCATCTCATTTTACCATAAACTTATTGTAGTGAGAAAGATACTTTCTGAAATTTGAACTCTTCGTTACTGATACTACGTGTTTTGACATTTGTTTAGTCTTAGTAAATTTAACTTTAATGTTTTGAAATTAGTTTAGTAAACTTAGTTCTTTGAGTTACATTTTTGTTAGCATTCATTAAACCCATTTTAATTTGTCCTTCTTACTTTAATTTTTATAGTTTGAATATTGTGATTTATGTTATTATCATAAGAATTTCCATCTTCCAAACTAAGACTTTGAAGTGATTTGTGTACTTGCGTAGAACCACTAGTGTGTGAACTATTTTATATATTTTATAAATATTTTGATTTTCCACATTAACTACTTAATATAAATTGGGTAAAGTTTTTTGTCATATTTTTGAAGAACTAAATTACTGCGTAATTTCGGGATGGGTCAAGTTCTTAACACTGTTACAGTGGATTTAAATTGACATAAAACACGCAGAAAAACAACACACACTAGGGGCACATCAATGCCCTTCTTCATACTTCTTCATTCAACATTAACTCTATAATGGCATCGAAGTTCGACTTCATATTCCCAAATAAAGTTATTGCAGTAACGAAACCATCCCACATGTCCAATAATGAAGACAAAACTAATAGTATTCTAACATCATCATTAAATTTAATTCTCACGGAAAACAACTAGCTAGTTATAATATTGAAATGGTTCAAGTGTTCGACCACTGAATAGTTTGTTTATAATTTCATATTGAATAACCCTTCATCAAAAAAAAAATTGTGAAGTAGAAAAATTTTCATTCATCATTATCAGTGCCACAAATGAGGAAAGTGATAAACAAATCAAACTTATGGTCATTTGATCCAACACTTTCCATCCCTCCATAGTCATCGATTCATGTTTCTTTGTGATTTCTTGTATTGAGAAATATAATTTTTTGATACATCAGATCCATAAATTACATCCTCCAAAATGCAAAGTTCGATCTATTGAATTTCTCCTCTTCGTACCTCACTTCATCGATCATTGCTCCTACCTGAATCAAACACCCCTCTCTGATACCACTTATTAGGATGGAATATGCACCAAAGGCTTCGTTTGGTTCACAATCAAAATCACCTCGTGGAAAATAAGAATACCAATTCAAGAAATCTAAAACAAAAATAAATCAAACAAAAGGACAACAAAGTAATCTAAAAAAAGTTGATCATGATTTGCATGAAAAAACACGAGAATGGGAGAAAAATCAAGAAGTAGCACAACATAAGAAATTCACTGTGTATAGGAGAAATGTACAAGATACACTACCAAATCTTCTCTCTACAACCCCTCGAAATTAGAGAGCCTCACTCCAAATCCTCTCGCGATCACACAAGAGAAATTGGATGTCGTGAAATCCTCACACTTGAACTTCAATGCTCTTATACAAAACCTTCTAGGGTTCACCGTGTGTTTACAAAGCTTTTTCTTTCTATATCGAGACATTAAATTGCAGAACAATAAAGGAATAACAGTCAGTGTGACAATGCCTAAACCCATAGTTAATATTCCATGTGCTTTTTTTGTTGTGCAATCACAAGATAAGAAATTGGGGTAACTATGCTAAGTTATAGCGTTGTCACGCCGCTAGATGTAACTACGCGTGTTTCAGGCATGGCAATGCTATGCTGCAAGCGCAGAAGCACCTCTTTGGAGGCACTAGAGTTCGAGTGCTAGGTGCTGCAGACTCAAAACTCCAACAAGAAATAGCCTATTCAAAAATAGCAATAGAACACTTCCATTTTGAGGTGAGATATTACTTTAAGGGAAATCCAACATCACAAATTGTTTGTAAATGAGCCACATGAAGTGGTCGTAACACTTTGTCAGGTTTATATCAAATGGAATGCAAACTAAGTTATGTCATCGTGATCTTAATGTGCTAGTAGCTGAGTTAACTCATTGTGATTTGCAATGTTGGGGTAGGGTCGGTGGCGAGAAGTGCCGACCAAACATGTTATAAAAGCTTCTTACAGCGAAGTTGGGGGAGAAGAGCAGATGTGGTGGCTCTATATTAGCCTATTCATCTTAATCGGTTTTTTTTCTTTTTTTTCTTAATTTTATTTTCTGAACTCAAATTTTATACATTTATAGTATTACTAAATCAATTATTGAGATATCGTTCTCACACCAAATATGTTAAAATAAGTTCTGATGTGTCAGTAATATATTTCTAATTTTTATAATGCTTTGATATTTAAAAACTTTTTGTTAAATTAAACTGAATTTGTTCAATAAAAAATTCCTAGATTTCCCCAAGAAATAAATAAGTACCGATTCGGATCAGCAGGTCGGATTCGAGTGTGACCCGAAAAATAACCCTAACTAAATAGTCAAATCGAGTCTCGAAAGCTAAGACTTGAACTTGTTTGACCCACTAACCTAAACCCCATCCCAAAATTTTATATTTATTGAGGACATATTTGAATTTTCAATTTCTAACTCAAATCCAATCAAATTAATAGCCATTTTTTTAACATCTAGATCCCTTAAAATGACATTGCGCCATAGGGAAAAATATTACATCAGGACTCCTAACATAGAAATATGTGCGGATTGGAATATCTGACTGTGTTACGGGAATATTTCATCTGCATTATTTGTAAAAATGATGTGTTATTCGAGTATAATATGATGTTATTCGATTATTTTGCGGTGTTATTGAAATATTCTCCGTGTTACTTGATTTGAGGCTGTATTATTCAGTGAGGTTGTGTTATTCGGCATATTTCTCATGATATTTCAATTTTCACTATGTTATTGAAATAACACAGCCTCAAATCAAGTAACGCGGGGAATATTCTAATAACACTTCTCTAATAACACTTCAGCCCCAACTCAAGTAACGCAATTGAATATTTCAATAACACCACAAAATAATCAAATAACACATAATACTTAATAACACATTCTTTTTACAAATAATATAGATAAAATATTATGGTAATACTTGAATAACACATTATTTTTACAAATAATATAGATAAAATATTCTGATAAAATAGATGAATATGCCAATCCGAACGCAGCAGCTCTACGGCAGGAGTGTTATGTAATAGAGCGTTGGCCAGTTGGCTAATCGGAACATTTCCTCCGTCCAGGCAATAAAAAATGCGCAGAGCAATAAAGCTGAAAACCCTCGAACTTAAAATCCCGAGACTTGTACCCTCGGGTTCCCTCCCTCCCACTTCTGCATGTTCTCCCTGCCATTGCCAAGAATGGCTTCCTCCACTCTCTCTCCCCTTTCTGTTCTTGTTATCGTTCTCTTCTCCTTCCTGATCGCATCCATGGCCTCTGAACCAAGAAAAGCCGTGAACGTTCCCTTCCAGAAGAACTATGTGCCAACTTGGGCCACCGATCACATCAAGTACTTCAATGGCGGAAATGAGATCCAGCTATACCTGGACAAAAACAGTGGAACTGGCTTCCAGTCTCGAGGCTCCTACCTATTCGGTCACTTCATCATGCAGATAAAAATGGTTCCGGGTGACTCAGCCGGAACTGTTACCGCCTTCTATGTTTGTGTTTACTAATGTAGCTTATATTTTTTTCCATTTGATCCATTTGCAGAAATAATTAATTTATTTTTGTTCATCAGCTTTCTTCTCAGAATGCAGAGCATGATGAGATAGACTTTGAGTTTCTGGGGAACAGAACGGGGCAGCCTTATATACTACAGACCAATGTGTTCACAGGAGGAAAGGGAAATAGGGAGCAAAGGATCTATCTATGGTTTGATCCCACCAAGGATTACCACGACTACTCTCTTCTCTGGAATTTGTATCAGATTGTGTATGCTCCTCTTTCAATCTTTCTCTTGTGTCTATATTTATAAAACCTAATTTATAATTATGCAATTAAATAAAGCCGCAATTAATTTAAATTATAGCTTTTTTTATTCTTAAACTAAAACAAAAAATCAAGGTGATTTATGCCCTCCCGTTACTCCTAAATCAAAATATTTTAATTATATTTTATGTGGTTTATTATGCATGTTATTTTTGGTATGTCATTATATGTTTGCAGTTCGCTTGTTTTAATTTTAAGGCTTATGTTCAGAAAATATTAAAAAAATTAGGGGCACTTACATTACATTTCACACAATTCTTAATTATTTTTATATTTAGAGGCGTTTGAATGCATACCACTCAATTTTTAAATACGGAACCTAAATTTTTACTTTTTACATTTATACCACCCAAAATTTTTTCAAGAAATACCACCATTTTCAATTTTAAAAAAGTGAAACGCGCAGTTTTTCTAAAGTGATATGCAAAAATTTAATTTTAGGTGCTAAATATGTAAATATATAGAAATTGAGCGGCACATTAGTACATATGTAAAGCTTCGTTTATTATACTCAAATGTTTAATATTATATGATTCTAAAAAAATTTCTTTTAATTTCCTGAATAATCTTATGATAAGAAATTACCAAAATAAAAATATCAAATTTGAGATGTTAGATGTATAAATGCATAACAATAGGTGGTATGTATGTAAATTTTTGAAATTTTAATGATGAAATTATTAAATTTACTTAACTAAATTATTTTCATTATCAATTTAGTCCGAAATAGATTTAAGATTCATAATATTTAATGAGGTAGCATGGGCCACGTGCGCATGTCCCTGAAACCACGTAGTGCATGGGAACGATAGATCTAATGGGACCCACAGCCGGATTTCTTTGACCAATATTTGGCGGTGCTTCAGGACATAGTTACGTGTCGGCTCGACCGGCATAAAACTAATTAATCTTATCACCAGCCCGTAAAAGAATTATTTATGTGAAGCCAACCTAGCCACCCCACAACTGTTCGACTAAGTGCCTCACTGACAAAGAAAACTACTCACAGGTTCTTCGTGGACGATGTGCCCATCCGGGTTTTCACGAACAGCAAGGACATAGGCGTCCGGTACCCCTTCAATCAGCCAATGAAGCTCTACTCCAGCTTATGGAACGCCGACGACTGGGCGACCCGCGGTGGCCTCGAGAAGACGAACTGGGCCAACGCCCCCTTCATCGCCTCCTACCGCGGCTTCCACATCGATGGCTGTGAGGCGTCCGCAAACGAGACATTTTGCGCTACTCAGGGCCGGCGGTGGTGGGATCAGAACGAGTTCCGGGGCCTCGATGCGAAACAGTATGGGCTGCTCCGGTGGGTCAGGCAGAATCATACCATCTACAATTACTGCAATGATCGGAGCAGGTACCCGAAGATGCCCGTTGAATGCCAAAGAGATCGGGATGTCTGAGCTTTTTTTCTTTGTATGCGAAGAATGGGTGATGAATTGGTTTCTTTTGAGTAATTCTGTTAGAGGATAATGAATGAGATTAAAAGACGGTTTGGTTGGGTTGTTGTGATGGTTGTGTGAAGTTTTGATGATATGAAAGTATTGTAGGTTTTGTCTTGCTTTCTCTTTTTAAATTGCTATTTATGATTTTTTTTTTTATTTGAACCTTTTTGGTTAAAATTTTAATGATAAATTAAACTATGAAACTATAATAAGAGAAAAGCAGTGCTATATTGGCTTTGAGTAAAACATTGATATTTGATAGATTGTAGGAATAAAATAGAATAGTTGAAAATAGATTTAGGTGATTTAAATATTCATAACAAGGAAATCGTAGTTATGGATGCTCTCACCGGACATCCTTTTGTTTTGGTCATTGATGCTCTTGTTAGACGTATACAAGAGGATGTATCTTGGTGTGTATGTTTTTTGTTGATGGTATCTTTCTTTTGCATAAGACTGGAGAAGTTCATGAAAAACTTGAATTATGGAGATCTACTAAGGATTTCATTTGGGTAGGATCTAAATCTGAATACATGGAATGTAATTTTTGTAGTAGCTCTAGTAGCAGAATTATAGCTATTGTTGATCAAATCACTAAGAAGTTTAAATGTTTTAGCTATATCTCGAGTCTATTGTTCAAAGTGATGGTGGTATTGATAGGTATGTTATTTGTAAATTCAGGCTGGCTGGTTGAAATAAAGGAATGCATCAGGCCTATTTTGTGATAGAAAATACTGATTAAGATGGTGGTGAGGCATGCAATGTTTTATGGCGTAGAATGCTGGAAGCACAACAAACTGAAGTTTGCTGAGATGAAAATGGTTAGGTGGATAAGTGGCATGACATTTAGGAACAAAATGTGAAATTAATTTGTGTAGTTCTACTTGCATATAAGATTACAGCCGTATCAAATGGTTTGATCCCATTAAATGCTGACCATTTGATAGTCTGATTGGGAGAGTACAAATTTTAGATTCAACTTATGTTAAGAAAGGCTTTAACTTATTATAAAAAAAATATGATCTTAATCTAATAAAAATAAAAGAAAATATGACACTCAATCGGACGATAGGACAAAATGGAGAAAAAAGGTTTGTGTAGCTGACCCCACTTAATGGGATAAAGACTTCTTGTTGTTGATGTAAATTATATTGATCATGCAAATAAAACAGTCTTGGTGTGATTAGGGGAAAAAATGTAAGATTAACGTTTATAGGTTGTGCTGAAGAAAGGATTTAAAAATCTGAGTGTTGATATGCATGTACAGAATTTCCTTATTTCTATATTTTTTTTACTTGCATGCGCAAGGTGGTTTATTTTTCTTATTTTATTTTTAAAAATTATTTATTTTATTTTTAAAATCCATGTGGCTGATATTTATAAATTATTAAAATTAGTAAATATGACATTTACGTGCATACCTTACAATTAATAAATTTAAACAATTGTAATGTAAATAAAAAATAGTTAAGATGTTCGTACGGTGATAAACAATTAAAAAATGCTACGATTAATTATACTAAATGTATAAAATATGGTTAAACTACTTATTTCTTGATATTAAGCAATATGTGACGTAAAATATATAATTGTGGTTTAAATTATCATTATGTTAAATTTCAATGTCAATATAGCTGACATTTATTATTATTATTATTATTATTATAAATGGTTATGAATCTTTTGATTGAAAAGTTGAATACAAATTTTGTGTTTATTCACATCATGTTTGACCCGCTAATATGAACTCAACCCAAAATTTTGTGTTTATTCACGTCATGTTTGGATTTTCGATTTCAACTAGGATCCAATCAGAATGATAAAGAGTAGAATTTTGTAAAGTGAACCAGACTATAAAAATATTCAGGCTAACCCTAATCCTAATTTTTCGGGCCGTTTTTTTGACATCACGCTTAAAATGAAATTGTGCCCTAGCACGTTGGATTAACATCGTCGAGCTTTTACTCTGAAAAATAACATTGGATTAGTTTAGAGTCCTAGGTGAACTACACTTCACCCCTTCCACACTAATTCATAAGTGAACAATATTTCAACAAACAACCTCAGATGGTTAAAAAGCCCTCGGTAGACTTCTGTTGGTTTCTCACATACGGGTTAGCATCATTAAGTAAAAATCTGATGCACAGCCCCAGACATGTCAAGAGTCCACTGACAATTTATCCTCACGCCGACCTTCTCCCATACTAGAATTTCTAAATGACATAAGGTATCCATTGTGACATAAAAGAAAAACATTCTTCAACATTATCACAAAAAAGATACTCATGGGATAAATAGCCAACAAAATCAAATAACTAAACCAGATTATCAACATACATTATTATAGCACATACAACATTATTCTTACAAAAGCTAAAAAGAAATAGCTACTTTTATGTGGTTTAAACAACATAGCAAAAGCAAAAACGCTAAAAGCATACAAGGATGAGTAGAGCACTAATCGACTTCCATGTTCTTCTTTGCCCTCTTGCCATTATTGGAGAACACATTCTTTAATTCACTTTCGATGTCCTCACCATCAAAATCTGAGGGGGGATCATCTGAAGCTTGACTGGGAGTGAGCCCCTCTATGACAATCTCGGTTCAATGTTGCACCACTTGACTCCCCTTCAAAAAATCCAAGATAAATCCTTCCTCAGTGAACCACATGTGTTGCTCCTTTACCTCAACATCAAGTACCTTGTCACGAGTCTCCTAGATATGGCCTCGAATGATAGTTTTGAACTCAAGTGAGTTCTTGAAGTCCTCGACCACTTCTTCTTAACATCTTTCACTTACCTTAAAAGTTGGATCTCTTCCTCCTAGGCTGAAAAATTGACTTAAGGTCTTTCACACTCCAATTACTTTCACTAAGATAGCTCGTGCATCCATCAACGCCTCTCGAGTTCTCTCCAGATCTTGAAGCTACAACAAGAAAGAAGTTGTTATTGTTGAGAGTTCTATTCCGCACTCTGTGAACTGTGATTCCAAAGTCGTGACTCCTTCAACCCCAGATTCACATTAATGCTTATATTTGCCTTGGAGATATTTGAGCTTAACAAATTTAGAGTTCCAATCTCTTAGAGCTGGTTTTAAAAGCCCTCAGCCTCCAAGAGCCTAGTACATTCAAGTGTGAACACATTCTCCTAAATATGAAAAATTGAAGGACTGGGCAGGGACTTTCGCAATTCTTTAATCCTCTTATATTATTTCTGAGGGAGAACTTCACAGTCTTTATTTATTGGGGACTGCTTTGAGGATACCATAGGGGATGACTCAGAAGGTCCCTTTTTAGATTTCTTCAATGTTAAAGTCGTGGAACACTCAGGGTGGAATGAAAGTTTGGCCTTGAATAATGATTCCTCGCCTACAAATTCTTGAATATAATGCATCTCAAACAGGTTCTCCTCGAAGTCATGAAATTCTATCATACACAGTATTCCCTCTTAAGTAGGCTGGAGAGAGATAAATAAATGTCGGAATCTTCCTCGCCTCTGACAGATCCCACAATCATTCTTCACAGAGAAGAATCTAACGAACCATTGCCTTATTGGTTCCTTCAGCAAAAAAATCCCATGTCTTGTGCTTAAACATCACACGATCATCCACGTCACCAAGGAACTCACACAATTGCACTAAAATTGTTAGTGTTAACTTTAACCCATGACTTCTAATAAAACAATCAACCCGATAATAACTGTCACCACTCGGTGCGACAACTGAGCAACACAAGCTCTGAACGCCTTCATGATTTCATTAAACTCAAGTGCCGATAGAAATCATATGTTAGCTATCAAGGCTGCCTCATGAACAACAATATAGCCAAAAGAAGAGCACTCTTGGTCGGCTGAAGTCGGCAATTTTACTACCATGTCATTCGGGAAATAATACTTCTTTTGAAATGAAATCAAGTCACTTTTCATCAAAATTAATGTTGCATCCTCCCATTTTAGGTCCTTCATCTAGTTCTCATCGGAACGAGATTCTTCAGTTGTCTCCATTTCTGCAACAAGAAAGAAGATACTTTTACTTATCTGGGACGACTTTCCTCTTCACCAAAATACGAAGAAGATCTCATTGCTTACCTGCTATGTTGAATGGGGACGACTTTCCTTTTGCAACAACATAAAAGTAGATCTTATTGCTCGTCTGCAATGCAGAACGGGGACGACTTTTCTCTTGTCTGCAACATGAAAGAAGATCTTATTGCTTGTCTGCTACGCATAATGAGGAAAACTTTTCTCTTGGCTGCAACTTAAAAGAAGATCATATTACTTGCCAGTTTCACAGAACGGGGATGACTTTCCTCTTGGTCACAGCACGAAAGAAGATCCAGTTTTCACGTGCTACTTAGGACGGGGACAACTTTCATCTTGGGCACAAAGCGAAAGAAGATTACGTTGGTCGTCTGCTACGCAGAACGAGACCAACATTCCTCTTCTAAAAAATCTCGTTAACGAAAGACTCCACTCTCCACTCTCTCTTTTTTTTTCTCTTTTTCCTCACTTTACCTCATCCATGGCATCTTTTTGTAAGCTTAAGAGGTGGCCTAACATTAAAGGAAATCATTATAAGAAAAATTAAATTTTGCATTAATTCTCGTCATTTCACCTTCAAGCTTTTGGCATTCTATCTCTTAGCCTTCCACATTCCTTGTTCCTAATTTAAAAGTAAAAAAATAAATAAAATTTAATTCAAGTATTAAGGAAAAATAAATTGTTCATATTCTCTTTTTTAATTATTATAAGTTAAATATATTTAACCTACTTTAAATATATTTAAATTACTTTTCAAACCAACTTTTATATATATATATATATATATATATATATATAAACTCAAATTCGCTTCACATTCCGAATTTGTGCTTTCCTTTTAGCCTTTTAACCTTCCAAATTCCCTCATTACAAAAAAAAAAGAATGGAGTGACTCTTTAAAAAAAAGGAAAAATATGTTCAAATTCCACCTTTTCGGTTTATATTCCGCAATTGGACCAAGTCTCGCGGATCCAGCTCTG